TGTGAAGCATCTTGATCCTGAATACTTATTGGAACTTATTAATCGCATACGAAGGGATATTTAAGTTCATGATATAGTTTATGAAGTTTTGCTAAAATTTGGAAGAAACGTTTGACTTTTTCTTCTGCTTTACTCCACATAAAACCGGATTCGCGTGAGCGTTCAGTGCAACTTTTGGTAGGCTGTGATGCATCATAGTTTCTTCTTCAAAGGAAGTACATATTTAATGAACGAGGTGGGTTTGGGTTTTTTGTAGGTCTCTTTGCAGGAGCGAAAAATTCTTCAATAGTTAGAGACAGAGTCAAGGGTGGATTTCGTATTATTTGCAATTCTTCATCAGTTAGTTGTGAAAGTAAAAAATCGTATTTGCCAAAATTTATTGGATCAATGTTATTTGGCATGGCTTGATTAGGGATTGACGGAGTTGCGTTGTTTTGTGATACCATTTTCTTTTTGATAGGCTAAAGAAAATGATGAAAAATGATGCCAGTGACTCTTGAGTTTATATACAGTACTGCAGTACTGTTATATCGATCACATACATTATGAGAATCATGTAGATAGTGTGACAATGTAATCAATGAAGGCGAGGGAATTTATACGTTTCCAGGGTAACGGATGCACATGCACTAATTACGTCAAAATAATGCATCCACTGTTTTCCACTGTTAACGATCTGTGTGTATGCGTGGATCACATGAATCAAATGTCTCGCCTTTTATATAAATTACTAAAAGCTGAATGTGTGATACTCTTACAGAAGATCAAAAAGGAAATTTCAATAATAAAATGATTGATCGAAAATGTGGTAGGCATAGCTTTGTTTTATACACAAGTTCCTAATTATTTTATTTAATTTTAGGCGAAAAAACTCGATGGCTAATGTCACATAAATCAGGGTACTTGATTATATCATTATGCGTACATAAAAGTCAAATCATAAAAGGACTATGCCATTATTTTATTTGAACCTAAGCCTTTCTCCTTGTTTCAAATGTTTAATAAAAATAACGCGTTTTCGTTAAGGTTTGACAAGATGAGTAAAACCGAATATTTTTACGTTGGTTACATTACCATAAAGATTTCCTTCATTGTCATTACACAATTTCAATACACGTTTGGTAACGAAGATAACGGATAACGTCTAATAACCATATTTCCGTTTTCGAACTTTTTAAAAGATTTTTATCGATTTTTGAATTTCAATGAAATAATAAAAAAAAAAAAGTTTACACTGTACCATTAAAAAATTATTTATTCATTTATATTATAAAAAAAACATAATTGATTACGAAGTAGTGCGTACATCTCGCACCAAAACACCATAAATTTATTAACCATAAAAAGAAAAAAAAAAAAAAAAAAATCAAATCATAATTTCGTAGCTTGGCGTGTTACATCTTTATACCCATGTGCCAGCGAAATAGACCAACAAGCCCATGCCAATTTTTTTACGAAAAAAAACATATTTTAAAATAAAGCTTATCATATCTTATCGGTTATTCTAAAGGTGTCTGTTCAAATCTTGATTGGCTTAGGAATTAAAAAAAAAATAAAGGGTTTGATAGTGAAATCCCCCCAAAAGATTACGCGTCAAATAGTCAAAAATATTATTATAAAAAATTTTTATGCGATATAAATATATAACGATGAAGATATGAAGAACATTAAAAAAGAAAAAAAGAAAATAGAAAAAAAAAAAATGAGAATGTAATTCGTGATAAAAAAGCATGATATGCGATATTATGTTGGCAATAAATTATCTACGTACTATTGACACCGATTCCCAAAATAAGAAAAGAAAAAATTAAAACATCGATTTGTAAAAAATTAACAGTCTATATATATGTATAAGTGAGCTGATAAAAATTAAAAGAATGAAGTAGTTGTGTCAAAAAGTGAATCGATCTGGACACCTGAAAAGCTTCCAGCAAAAAAGGCAGTATCGTATTCATCAATCAAATAATCTGGAATACTTGCCGGGAGCTGCGAAGTCGAAATAGAGATTTGAGAAACTTGCTGAATTGAGGACGCAGTTGTAGTAATATTTCCATTAAACGAATCGGAAAAGTTGGTGTCTATCGAAGTACTAGTAGATTGCCAATAGTTTTCGAAATTATGGTTTACTTCAGCAGAAACGGTGCCGTTAAGCATTGTCATATTCGCATTTGGGTTAATATAAATGTCCGTGTCGGATTTTACGCGTTGAGCTGAATTATCGACAAGTTCTTTGGTAGTTTTAATGTTATTTTCTGTATTAGATTCAATTTCTTTTTTGTAAACAGCTGGTGAATTATCGAGAACAGATTGTGCGAGTTGAATGAGTTGCTGAAAAGTTTCGTAATCAGCGTTTCTAAAATCGTACCCTCCAAGAATAAAGAGATCATCACCATCCCGTGTACTACCAAAAGTTGACGGACCTGCGTCAACGGTAAGATCATTGGTGTAATCAACATGTGGAAAAGGTTGAGGTGTAGAAGAAAATAAAAATCCCATGTCACAAGGTGAAGGACTAACAAAACTATCAACAGGAGAAGTAGGAGAATTAATGAATATTGGAGATGAACAATCCGGTGACATTGAAGATGTCGTAGATGATAACGGCGACGATAACGGCGAAGAATCGTAATGAGGCGATGTTTTAACAGGTGTTTCAATTTGTCGCACAGTTACATCGGATGTGACAGTATTGTTAGCAACAGGGATACCACCCAAGGCTTGGGCATCGTTCGCTTGTTTAACGCTATCATGAAAGATCCAATCTTTGTTGTTTTCCTTTGGAACTTTTTTCTTTGGTGTGTACTTGTAGCCAGGATATAATGCTTTATGTTGTTCATGTGCGAGTCTAGAGAGAATTTCAAAGAATCTTTTAACTTTTGATGGTTGATTTCTCCAGACATCACCAGCATCGGTGGAGACATTCTTCATTTTTAATGCCTTATCGGGAAAACGCATGCGTTGATTAGCTTCATAATCTTTTCTAAATAGAACCCAAGCATTTTGAGGTCTAGGAATTTTATTTTCTGGTTTGGACTTATTTTTACGATTCTTTCTAGCTGGAGAAAGAAGTTCACTCAAGCTAAGCGTAAGTTGATATGGTGGATTTTGAAGTAAAGCATGTTCCTCTTCATTAAGACGTTGCTTTTGAAACAGTAACGCACCACCAGGATGAGCGAGAGACATCGAGTCAGATTTGGTAGGAGATACCAAGGCGATCGGGGGTGCGGGTTGAAGAGGAGGGTAATTGATGACGGCGGGGGTAGTGGTATTGTTAAGATTAGAAGTAACGATGTTCGCGGGTTTCTTATCAGACTTTACTTTTGGCATTTTTGTTAGTTCGTACGAAATAAAGAGTTGTTTATATTATAAGCGTGTGTTATGTGCAGAGAAGTAATAAGAAATAATTAATAATGCAAGATCAGAAGTAAATATTCAAAGCAAGGAATCACAGAGTTCCTTACCAAAGAATCCGAGTACTTATATAACGCTTTCATTTTTATCATATCAAAGGTTCTTAATTTCTCGTATGATCGCTTATCCTAATATAATAGTTCTAAGGTAATCAACTGCAAAGATCCTAAGTACTACTGTAATCGTATGCAAAGTTCAGCAAATCATCTTGGCCTAAAAAGAATTAGTAGACAATTTGAATATTCGTTTTTTATTATAAAAAAGAGTACTTTTATTTATGTTATGCAATGCACGGAGTACAACGACGAGTTAAGAACCATCTTAAATTTTAATACAGTAATAATTAATGATTATTAGAGGAATAATGAGCGAGAAACGAAACCAGGAGTGCGAATGTTTTTTTGAGAGTGATGTGAGATTGAAATCATGATAAGAATGAAATTTCAATGCATTGGTTCAATGATTAATGATCCTGAGTTTTGATGTTTCTTTTTCAAAAGTCTTATTTTATTCTATGCTTTATTTTAATGTCGTTTTGTATCTTTGAATTAAACAAATTTTGTTAAAAAAGGACTGCAATGCTTCCTTTGTTCTTCAATGATTCGATGTTCACCTACAGCCCTCATTATTCGTTTAAACTATTACACGCAGGATTAAAATATTAGTTTCTCCAATTTTCCGCGTAAGTAATACTTGCGATGATGGATAAAGCGATTTCAACAAATTTTTCGCGTGACCTAAATACCCTTCCTCTGTAATCACATTGTTACTATAATTATAATACGGACTATGCCGTATGTCGCCACATATTTATATTGCCTATTACTTAATATTTTTTCTCCTTAGTATTAAATCCATATCTGCAACATGGACAAATCCTTTATCTCAAATTTGAAATATTATTTTTATCGGAAAAAGAAATTCTCGCCCACAATTCTAAATAAGGTGATCTATTCACATATCTCAAACTAATAGTTTATAAGAGATTATATTTATTTACCCTTAATTTGCCTTCGTCGGGTTTTGAAATGTATCATTTAAATAACTGATGAGATTCTTGAATTTATAAACTCTGCATTCATTCATCAGAAACTAAGAATTTCGCATTTTAAGGTTTATATTAAATTATTATTATTGATCGAACGATACATGCAATGTTTTTACTCTTCGCTAAACTGACATTTCTTGCTCTCGGTAATGTAATTGAATGTAGGTTAGATGTGCTGGACACGTGTAATGCATACCATTTTAAATGAATTCGTGTTAAATACTATATATCGTTATATACACGTATATATTGATATAAGTTATATTATAAACCAGATTATTGTATTATTGGCAATATCATTTTATTTTATATACAGTATATATATTTATTTATTTGTTTTATTTATTTAAAAATACAAATTTGAAAATAGAAAATTATGCATGTACGTACATACGTACAGTAGGTATGGGGTAAATTGCCGTAATTATTAAAAGCTATAATAAAAATTATTGCTCTTTTCGTAATTGATCGGGCGGATTTACTGTAAATTTTTATGAATCTCATGATTAGAAGTATTGTTTATCAATACACAATACCTTAATTATGGGATTTATAAAAATTTATAAAATCACTTGTTCGATCAATTTCGAAAAAAAAGATAATTGATGATTTTATTTATTTATAAAATGTATATCTATTTTAGCGTAATTAAAAAAAAAATAGAATATATTTGTAAATTAGAAAAAAATTTATAAATTTAAGAAAATAACATAATATATATTTGTTTATTTACTGTGTATATAAAAATTAAATTTTTAATTTTTTTAATACAGCTAGAGAGCTTTCAGATATCAACTAATATTATAAAGTAGGGGTATAAAAATATCTCAGGTTTAATTTTGGCCGGCATTAGTTTATAATTCCAGCTAAATATATAATCACACTTTTAGCCAATTAATATTTGGCATTTATCACGTAGACATATTATAATTAATGTAAATGGCTAGAAAGTATGTAATACGATATACTATGTGTTTAAAATTATAT